TATCATCACCGCCTAGTCCAGCAGCCTAGGCTTACGTTACCATACCCGTCCTAGATGTAATTTTCCCGTTCTGAACGGAGTACAGTTATCATTCCTACTGTGGCATCTGTCTTATTTTCTTTCTGGTCGGGATTCGACCTAAGGAGGTAGTGGTTAGAGAATATGTATGACTAACTGGCATGACTATATCCCGAAGAACGCAGCGCAGTAGGCTCTGACTGTAGAAGTATTGTATTCTCCTGAGTTGTTTGATACTAGCATTCAGACAGAGACTGTCCAGATCACTTCTTCCTTCCTTGCTACCTAGCTCTGCCCTCCAGGCAGCATTTATTTAACCCGCAGCACTTTCCACTTAATTTGACGTGCGCCTTTGCTGTTAGAAACTGCATTTTACTGTCTGGCTAATGGCCCGCGCCAATGCGTAGTCTAGTGCCTACCTGCATTTCTAGGATTGCGCAAAACCATTACGCAACTCCTGAAGTCGCTGTGCATGGCAGCGCGCGGACGCAAACTATTGGCTTTACGGCCAGTAGCTGATTTAGGGCCGTTCGATGTGATGTTTAACATGTCTCCGCGAGACAGTCGTTTATATTGGGTAGGCAACGGGTCGCTGCTTAAATCCAGTGGTTCTAAACCGACATTGACTGGCTCTGGCAGATGTTCGATGGCTTTGTGAGGGTTCCAATGGGGAGTACCACAGGACATATTCTGGGCCTGTGTTTCGGCTCGCGCCCAGTATTCTCTAGATCCCTGCGCGAATTTGTACATTAAATTGCAATGGAAATTCCAGTTATGTCATGATTGTGGGCACACTCTTAGTCGTTTATTCTCCGTGATGTAAGGTAGCTCCGTGCGCGGTTGAAACTCTCAATGGGGAGACGATTCCTAACTAGCTGGTGGTCGTTAACAAAGTTCTTTACCTGAAGGCCCGTCTGAATTTTGTTCTCGTGCTCGGCAATCCTGCGATAACTGATCAATAGTACCTTCTTTATTGATACGTTAGTGTGTCATGAGACTAAATCTAGCCAGAACGCAATTTCGTCCTTTGATAAAGTCATTTTTTCTAACTTTTTGCAAGAATCTGACAAAATCCCACCCATGAGGGATGTGATGTCCCATCAGCTTGAGTTTTGGCCTTTTGGCAAGTACAGTGAGTGACCGATCTCATGAAATGTTGGCTGACATTCTGAAATGCGTTTTAGATTCGGAAGGATTACTTGGTCGCGGTTGTAATACTGATTATTTTAAGGCATACTTCTATAATATTTCGGATTTGGCAGGATGTCCGCTTTTAAATGCTTTTCTTTTCAATCTTCTGTAGAAAGATTACTCGGTAAAAAATGACTACTTAAATAGCATGCATTTTTCCCATTGATTTTCGATGGTCTTGGAAATTCAAATGTATTTTATAGAAACCATAAACAAAATATGCTTCCTTTTAGTCAATCAATAGAGAATCACGTCTTCTTTATATTTTATACTTAAGGAAGGAGTATAATTAGGTTTTAAAAAGTTTTCTAATTGCCGAATAATGTGGAGCCTGATCATTCGTTGCATTAGCGCTTAGTGATTACATTCTACAAGGTGCATTCGTTCCGCGTACAGAAAATCACATATTTTTCTATGCCATTAAAGAGATATCATACAGAGTCCATTAAATTTTGCAATGGATGCGGATCATGTTGTACATTCCATGAGGAGCAGTGGTAAACGGACAGGTACGATGCTATGTGAATGGACATTTTGTGGTCTTAAAAAGTCTCATAACTAGAAATTTCTTAAAACCTATTTATACTCCTTCCTTAAGTATAAAATATAAAAAAGACATGATTCTCTATTGACTGACTAAAAGAAAGCATATTTTTGTTTATGGTTTCTATAAAATATATTTGAATTTGCAGGACCATCGAAAATCAATGGGAAAAATTCATGCTACATTAGTAGTCATTTTTTACCGAGTACGCTTTCTACAGGAGATTGAACAGAAGTGCATTTAAAAGCCGACATCCTGCCAAATCCGAAATGTTATAAAAGTATGCCAAAAGGTAATCAGTATTACAACAGTGACCGAGTAGTCCTTCCTAGTCGAAAACGCATTTTAGAATTTCAGCCAGCATATCATGAGATAGGTCACTCACTGTAGGTGGGAAAAAACACCTTGTTATAACATACTAGACTACTTCTTAAAATGACACAAATCAAGAGAAAAATTATACCAACGTAACCATCCCCCTAACTTATATGTTATGTTCCATTTAACTGATGTCATCGGTTCTGGGCTCTTGATGCACTTTGTCGGGCTTTCGATCTCTGTATGTAAGACAAAAGAATGTGCCCAGTTGCATGTTAACGAATTAGTAAAATCTACAGTTTCCTTCGGAGGTTGTCCCGTCCATAGGTTCTTTGGTAAATGGTAGAACACGAGACGAAATGCGTTTATGGATTGAAAGAGGACTGATATACGTCGGGCCCAATTCTTTTCATAGGTATCTTTTGATAACTCCACTCAGGCCGTGCTTCCATTTTAAGTTAGGACAACAGTTGAGCGACTTTCTTTATTCTTTCCTCCGCAGTCATTTCTATCGTTGACGGTAAAATTTCTTGTTTATTAGCTGCCGCGTGACCGTCTGCGCGGTCTCTGGACCAAAAACTGCAGGGCGAAACGGAGGCGTCCATTACCACCCTTAAAGCAGACTTGATCAGTGAACTCCACTCCCAACCGGCCTGTTGGGTTGTCTTCATACTCTACCATGATTAACACTATATTCACACTTTCTAAAGACAGTTGACAGGTTTTTGCGGTCCCAGCTTCGCCGTCGATAATCACAGCTCTGTCGACACAGCATCTGCCGCCTTGACTGGAAGCGGAAGGCAGTCTAATGACTGCGACGCCCAGCCAAGCATAACTGGGGTATATGTGAATTGACGACCTCAGAGCATACCAGTGAACTCAAAACGCTCGAATATTCATCAGAAATTTTCACCAAGAACCGAACTATAAGACGTCTTTTGCTCCTCTTTGCCAATAGGGTTGTAAGAAGAACTTGTATTGGTGAAAGCTGCTGCTCCGTCTGGAAGACATGAGGTCGATTTGCAGATCAAATCTTGCTTTCAACGTGCTTAAATTCGTGAAAAATTGGACAGCTTTTAAAGGTGATTCCAAATGGGAATACATAAATAATGTGAGTGCTAATGACTATTTGGAGAAAAGCATAGGCTTAAGTCGATTCGTACGCGTCAGCATGTTGGTTTTTGATGGGCTGTCTTCCGAATTATCTGGCAAAATATAAACTCGAAAACAGTTACGCCCAAATGGCGAGGATCTGCCCGGTCGATTTCTTGGGTCCCACAGACGTGCTCATATTTTCATGGGTGACTGAGTAACAGAACGCTGATGCCCGAACTCGCATCTATCGTGAATCCCAAAGATCCCTGTATAGATTATCCGACTCCCTGTTGCAGTCCGTGCAATTAAAAGCTTTTTAGAGGAACTGGACAGGATGCAATAAGTCTGCATCATTGTACCAAATTTGGAGAAGCTTTTGTGTCTGGGTAAAATGACTGAGTGTAGCTTGTTGTAAACCGTGGAACGAATAAACCCCTTGAAAATGTGCTGCTGGTAAGAAATATGTTAAAGTGCAACCCGCAGACAGGTTTGTTGAAGTTTTTCTACAGTCTGGTTCTCCTATCAAAAGGGCCTGGACGTGATAAGTAGTTTGAGCAGAATGGGTCGCATTCGTGCCAACTACAATATTAAAGTCTAGGAACCTGTGTGATATAAAACGAAAGAAGCACAACAACGTTCTGGTTTTATGTACATATAAAGGACTTCATTGATGCATATACATTCAGTATCATCACGCATACTAAGAAAAGAAACGGAACATCTGTGGACTTTGGGGGAGAGAGACAATTTTTTAGCGACGTATCTGCATTGAGTGAATGTGTGAACTCCAGCCGTTAGCTGCGACAGGTCTGCTCACTTGTGATTGGTTGCGCCTTGGTTGTAGCTTGTGTACTTTTCCGCTGACTTGCGATGCTATTTTTAGTAAAATCCTTGTTCCAAAATAGGCTATGCAAACAAGGCCAGTTCCCATGCCTGACTTGCACAGTCGGACGTTTTTTTCAAACTTTTAGATTGCAGAGAAGGGATTACATCGGCTTTGTAAAAGCTGATGACCTGCACATTATGAAATCCAAACTGCACTTTAACTTTTTTCAAACATGTCTTTTGCTGGAATCGATTCTTTATGTTAAAGTAGAGCAGTCGTCTGGTACTGATAAAACACCACAATAAATGTTACTTAGACTGAATACTCTTAAGAAGCATTAAACCCATAGTCATCAGATCACGAATAATCGGTAAGCTTCTGAAAGTTTACAGTGAGTTGCGGTTTCTTTAGAGCTTAACTATTTGCCTCCATAAGTTTCGGATCTTGCTCTTTCGTTGTTTCCGGCCAGATGCATACGACTGGGGTTATTTTGAACATCCTTCCAAAACAAGACTATCAAAAATGGAGAGTTGTCACACAAAAACTAGAATCGCCCTTTCGGAATAGTTTTTTACATCTGCCAGACATAGCACAGGTCTGGCGGGCACGAAGTAACCTTGCCTCTCAAGACGTGGCTACTTCTTTCCGAGCGTTACTTGGACGTCCATAGTTAACTACTTGCGAGGGCCTAGATCGTAGGTCAAAAACAAGATGGTCTGCCTTTTTTTAATCCCGAATCGTAGATCGCCAACTAAGTGGAATTCTCCATTTGAGCGAATTTAGATAAACACCACTAATCATTGGAGACTACAGTACATGTATAGCTTTTTCGAATGTGGTTAGAAACATAACAACCTTGTCTGTACGCCGCCAGCGCGCTTAATCATTAAGCACTGTATGCTACGGACGGTCTGTTAAAAGCTTGTAAATATTGCGAAGTTCTTCAACAGCTGCTAGTGGCATTCAGCTCAAATATACATATCACTTTTCGAATACAGTCTCAAGTGGTTAGGCCTGAAGGATTTGCTTCAGCTTTGCGTAACTTTCTGAGAAAATAAAAAGCTTAAATTTGGACCTTCAAAGCGTACATGAAAGCGCATGAGGAACGCTGAGATGAGCTGAACCCCTCGTTACTGCGTCATAAAGCTGTACAAAATCGGCGAAACATGCGTCTGTTTTTAGTTAATATCTTTGCTGTCAGTATGACGAACCACTCACTATTACAGACCAAATCGAGCACGTCATCGTGTACTGGCGGCCTAGGGATTGTATTGCGTTAAAAGTCAAAATCGAAGCGCCACTTACGCAATATTTTTTATTTAAACAGTCATCTTCTATTTTCTATTTTTAAGTAACAATTATTTTTAATGTAGGCTCCGTGGCATGGGAACACGCGCAGTCGAAATAGATGTCGCCAGACGGAGTAAAAGTACGACAATAAAATACCTTTTAGGCAATGACAGCAAAAGGGCAGTAAATCAGTTTACCACTAACACTAAATGCTAAAATTGTGTCACATTGTAATTGGCGACGAAATGCAGAATCGAAATTTGTTATACCACAAAATTCGTGGATTTTCAGCCCTTTTGCTCAACGCAAATGCTCCCCAAAGTAAGTAACCCAGACACAAATCATACCCTAGTCTCTGTTTCTAAGCTTTGGATGATGTACCTCCACTTAATGTTTCTTCAGATACAGAATTATCCATTGTTTTTTTGTCCGTATTCAATGAAAACGCGTGTTTCAAAGATGACGCACACTCGTGGATCTTCTTTGCAAGAAGAACCAGGGACTCTCCTATTTGCCTCTGTTCACAACCGCTATTTGTTTAGATTGCACCTATCAACTGTTTGTTCGCAGATTGTTCCCCGAACTTCGATATCTCCGGTAAAGACGTTAGACGAACATTGAGTATGCATGCTTCTCGCTGTCTTCCTCCTCGTATATATCAACAGCCTTTCGTGAAATCGTTATAACAGGGCACTGGATTGGATATAAGACCTGACGCAGTTTCTGCCTCCACCAAACGCGTTCAAAACATAGGCCTACATCTTGCAAAGGTAATACCGTGATAAAGACCATATTAGGCGGAATCTACTGAATCTGACTTACAGTTAGTTGGCAGTTTTCAACCGACAAACTCGGCCGTTAACGTCTTTTTATGGCTTCCAGCGTTCTAGATTTATTTTACCGACGAAGCATTGGATTGTTATGAAAAATACATCATCTTCAGCCTTAAGCTTTCGCCTGCCAGTGTATCCGTAACCTCTTCAGGCTTTTTGGCCGACCAAAGGCAGGATTTTACCCAATACTTAGTGTCGCGTGGGCTTCCGCCTAACGAGCATAACAGACAGTGGCGATTTCTGTTAAAAACCCAAACGATCTTGTTCAGTTGGTTGTTAAGGCACGGCGAGCACTCTACCACCACCACCACCACCATCACCACCACCGACACCACCACCACCATTACTACTACTACTACTACTACTACTACTACTACTACTACTACTACTACTACTACTACTACTACTACTACTACTACTACTACTACTACTACTACTACTACTACTACTACTACTACTACTACTACTACTACTACTACTACTACTACTATCATCATCATCATCATCATCATCATCATCATCATCATCATCATCATCATCATCATCATCATCATCATCATCATCATCATCATCATCATCATCATCATCATCATCATCATCATCATCATCATCATCATCATCATCATCATCACCATCATCATCATCATCATCATCATCATCACCACCACCACCACCACCACCATCATCATCATCATCACCGCCGCTGTCGTTGACGTCGTTGTCTCCATCATCGCCAGGCAAGTAGACAAAAACTCATAAATGAATCCGAAGTAAATTCGAAACGTCTGGCGACTAAAGCTCTTGTTCTAGCGACTGTTGCTCATCTCCATAACAACATATTCGTCACCTAGTGGCACTTAATAATAAAGTCACTACTAAGGAAATTTGTAAAATTCACGCTGTCAAAAACTCGAAAGTTTCCTGCTCCAGAAAGTTAGAACGGATTTCAATTTAGGCTTTATGACTGGGGATTCATTCATGGAAATCCACATGAGTGTTATTTATTTCACGGAGAAACAGTCACGCTCAGGAACATGCAACGTACACGACACAATACTTTACCATATTGCTGCTCTCTATTGCACTTTTTGTGCTAAAATGACCTGGTGGATATGCGAAAACCCATTTTGTTTTCTAAACGTGCATAAACAAAGCATCGGTTTATTCCTCCATATTTACGAAGAAGGTTTTTTTAAATTTTGCCTCCATCTCAAAATCATGCCCCAGTAACGGGCTGTGCTACGAGCACAATGAACCAAAATGTTATTTAGATTGACTCACCTTGTGCGTTTATCTGGCAGCTCTAAGTCTATTCGAACCCATAACTACCGACGCTGTAGATGTAGACCTCCACATTACCCTTAGCCATTACGCCCAATCCTACCACCCGTTTATTGACAAACTGTGCCTGGGAGAAGGAAGAGGGTAAGAAAATCCTACCCTAGGGAATCCAATAATGGCATATCTGATATGCTCAAGTCTGGCACAATGTGCTACGGGCTTGTTGCTTGGAAGTTTGTCAACAGACGGTATAACTCGGTCCTTTTAGGTACTGACAGTCGGGCTGCAGTGACTCCCTCTCAATGTGGCTTTTACAGCATGCTAGCCCATGGGATATTTGAGCCGACATTACATTATTGTGACACATGTTGTGGGGATTGGGTCGTTTGCAGCAGACGTAGACCGGCCATCTAATTTTGTCAGTCACTGCATCCGCGTCTACCTTCTGTAATCAAAACGTTATTCTTCCAACGGAGAAAAGTGGGTCAGGGAGGAGAGAGTGCGCTAGATGCTGCGCAGCCCCGCCCCAATGAAAATTAGTCCACGCGCAAGTGGCTGGTTCCATGACAACCCCGTGGGGCATGCGGTGGACGACGTCAACTGCGACGGTCAAACTCTTACCACGCAGTCACTGAACTAAATCTCATATCCAAACAGACATCTGACATAGGGAAAATATGGAGGCGCGCTCTGGATTCCATTTTCTCATGAACAAGTAGTTCGCTTTCTTTGTCTCGACAAATTTACAAGCCTTGAGCGGTCTCGACACCATAACAGTCGTGGCTTGGAAGTTTGCTAACAGACGAGTCAATTTACTGTTCCTTCGGACTGAGCGTCAGGTCTAATTGACTCCTTCTCAACGTGGTGACTGCCTTCAATAGGGAATTAGAGACCAGTCTGCTGAAAAGTGATGAATGCAAGCGTGGGTATTAAAACGCCTGTGGCGCGCAGAGACGGAGGATCCACCCCATGTGATCTACTTCACTCCGTCTCATCTGCAATCGCGTTCACTAGAATACACCACAGGTATAATAGACGGAGAAGAGGGTGAAGCCAGTTGAACCGGAAACCAGAGGCTATTTTCGTCGCCTCAACAACTAAAGGCACGCTGAAACCACAATGACGCGCTCACAGTGGTGTCAACGGAGGTCGCTAATTAACGCGACAACGTCGTCCCTCATAGGACTGAGGTCCATATTACAGCGCCTTCTACTTGACATGACCCCGGGGACTGTCTAATACCTGCCCGACCGTCGCGAACGACGAGGGCCTCCTGCGTGGTAGGCACAGCACGGTGGCATGCACGCCAGTCAGCTTATTGTGATAATAGACTTGCACAACATCCGCAGCGATGAAGAAGGAGACAAAATCGCCGGGACAAGGGCTTTATTAGCCTGACGTTTCGGATTCCTTCTCGAATCTATCATCATGGATTCGAGTTGGAATCCGAAACGTCAGGCTAATAAAGCTCTTTTCCCGGCGATCTTGGCTCCTTCTTCAAGACTACTTCCTGGGACTCGTCTCTTTGCTTCGATTGGCAATCCGCAGCGATCTCTTCTCCCCCATACATTTGAGACTGGTGGAAACAGAGATTCGGGAGGACCGGTGGCAGGCTCAGATGCAGTAGCCGCAACGCTAAACAGGCCTTCTACGCGTGCTGCACACAACCCAACCTGCGCAAGATGTCCCAGACTTTCTCAGAAACAGGAACCAACTCGGATTCACCGGGAGCGGGAGGACCGTTGAGGTCACGTTAAGAAGGAGCCGGACTGCAGCCGGAATCTCCGGTCTGAGAGAGCCAAGTTACTGATAGAAGCGAACAGGCGAGTCCCAGGTAGCAGTTCAGAAGATGAAGATGCGATCACTGGAACAAGAAATTTATTTGCCTGACGTTTCGGATTCTCACTCAATTCCATCATCATAGACATTCGCAGATAGAGGTGAAGGTGGCACCAGGAGTGCAGTATTTATAGCACGTGGCTGCCGTGGGACCGTATGCGCACTGCAATTAACAGTTCTCTCAATCGCCGCTGGGGTCGTAATTGATGCGGCGGTGGCTTGGCGGTCCGAGTTCGAGTCGTTAATTGCTGCGATAATGAGGCCAAAAGACCCGCAGCCACGGCAGGAAACGTCTGGAGTCGTTTACCGGATCTGGTGTAGTTGCGGACAAAGCAATTATGTCGGAGAAACTGGGAGATTACTCCGTACGCGACTTGTCGAGCACGCAGCAGCAGTGAGGCGGGGAGACGCTAACTCTCAAGTGGCGGCACACTCGACGGGACCCGGCCATATTTTCAAATTTCAAGAGGCCGAAATCCTCGCAAGGGGTGACAACCGCGTGAGCCGCGAGCTGCTCGAGTCATGGTTCTCAGGCTCGCAATCCATCAACAAACACAATGACCTCCCGGTGCCCTATTCCGTATTGCGATTTTCCCTGGGCAGGAGAATCAGTCACGTGGGGAGGGCGCGGGTGAGCAATTATCACGGTTACAGTGAGCCAGTTTGCCGAGCAATCGTCACACCAGCATCGAGCACGGATGACGAAATCGCGGCAATTAACAACTGGGACTCGGACTGACAAGCCACCGCCGCATTAATTACGACCCTAGCGGCGATTGAGAGAACTGTTAATTGCAGTGCGCATACGGTCCCACGGCAGCCACGTGCTATAAATACTGCAATCCTGGTGCCACCTTCACCTCTATCTGCGAATGTCTCTGATGATGGTTTCGAGTGAGAATCCGAAACGTCAGGCAAATAAATTTCTTGTTCCAGTGATCGCATCTTCATCTTCTGAAGAGCCAAGTTACTCTGTCAGTTGGTAGCCTTCCAAGCTACGGACTCTACTTCACATGAAAATCAGGACACGCGTTTTTGGAGTCCGGAACACCTGAAATGAGTATCAGCACGCGAATGACGTTTGAAGATTGGTTCTTTTACCCTCGTCAACTACTGCATTCACGTGGACCACTAATTTTCTTAAAATGGTTTTGCCGCAGAACTTGGCAGTTTTTGGACCTAGAGACTACATTGAACGATGCGCAAGTCTGCTGCCCAGTGGTGCGATTTGCACGCTAGTCATAAATGCAAACTTCGGAGGATAGTTTAGCTACAAGTCTCTTACGATGGGTAAAATAACAGAGCCCTAACTGTATCATATGCTTATATCCACTGTTTATGTGGAGTGGGCCCCACTTAGCAAATTTCTAAAACTATCGCCAGCTATAAGAAAAGAACGCAGATAATATCCCTATATTCTTGAAAGGGTGTGCACACGAATTTATGTCCAAACAGGATTTATAAAAATCTACCTTAAGAAAGTCAGTAACAGACGAAAAACTAACCTTTAATGCATTATTTTCTGCAGTTTTATCAGCAGACGTCCTACTTTAGATTCATTGGCAAAATAGTTATATATAGAGCATAGGAAGCAAACTTTGTCGAATGACAGGCGATGGGTTATCTGCCTCACGGGAATTTACCCAATTTGCTTTGTACTTGCGAAAAATGTTTGCATGAAATGGTCGTTTACTAATGCCGTCACGCGCAGCAAAATTACCAGCAAAATTACCACGTAACTTCCAACAACGACCAAATGTTTGTGGGCTTGAGGGCGGTTTTGGAACGTCGGTGAATACGTTTTGGTTTATGGTGCTCCTGTTAAATTGGAGGGAATAGTAGGACTGTAGTATGTAGTTATCAGAACGTGTAAAATATGAGAGATCTTAAATTTTTCACCATCTTAGATCCTGGAATATTTTGAATAAGTACGGACAACTTTGTTGATCTGCTCCTTGAAGATAATGGCTTGGTCGCATATGTAGACTCATAAAAGTACAAAACCGAATCACCCAAGAAAATGAAGGTCTAAAACGCAGGCCTGGAATTAAACTATTTTGGTCAAAATGAAAAGTCTTATATAAGACTTTTTTCTTTAAAAGATGCCTGATTAGGTTTGTCCGTGTGCTTGTGTGTTCTATCAGGGAGGAAATAAAAGCATTTCTTCCGTCCATGTACTTTCTTGACCAACGGTGAAAATGTTCACGATATAATAGAAAGATTTTTTTTCTCTTTATTTCAAAAGCGTCTTTGTTATCTTCGTTTATGTAGGCCTGACAAAGTCGTTATATTTTCACTGAAAAATCGGTAGTATCCTGAATTATGGGCTAGCTGACGGTAAACCGTGCATATGCATCATACCGTGTGCTAAAAAGATCAAGCGATCATCTGATGAAAGGAAGTTTGCCGTTTACTACAGAATATTTGAAAAAGCCCGAAAGTCCCAGGCGTGGTGGGGCTCAAAAGTTGATTCGGTTATTTCTTTTTACGGCATAAAATATTATTGATTTGCAAATCTGAATTTCAAATTATTAAGTGGATTTTTGGCTTCTAAAAATGACGTGAATGTTTCCAGTTTGTCAAATATGATTTATACTGTCTGCCAAATCAAGTTGGAATTTGGCAAAGGTTGCGTTGGTATGGTGTTTGCATTTAAATTATTATCCTCCGTACGCAAAAATAGGAAGACGCGGTCTGTGGTAAATATAAGTGCAGAAAATTGTGGGAATTGCGATGAGTGTTAATGTCCGTTCCAATATATTCAAGCATCGTCATCACACCTTTCTGAATTCATAGTCTAAAGGAAATAAGAAGTTTTGGCGGCCAACCAGTAAGTAATACGCATAGTGGTACGATGTTTCGGTCAGGCTGTGTGGTCCTTGGTCCTCATATTCGGTCAGCTTGTTTGTGTAACCCCACCTCGGAACCAGTAACCACAGGCCCTTATAATATAGGAATAGTGGTAAAAGGGGCTTTACGGATAGGGCTTCACTACGGAGTGGGAGCGAAACGAAGGCGATAAAAAATAGAAAACAGATAGATTTCCATTGAGATTCTTCTCCTACGCATATATCGAGCAACGAAATTGGGCGGGTTACTTGAACAATAACCAAAACCAACCCCCTAATAAATAAAACCTATTTTTATAAACAGCCTTTTGGAAATTCGAAGCAGCTCAGGAACCGATATATCGAACAGCCAATAGAAAGGAACAACAGCAAGTTGCAATAAGTACAGCTATGAAAATTA